CAAATAGATATTGTATGCACGCTTGGCTCCTTTTCGAGAGCGGCCACGCCAAATGCGTAGCTTAACGTCACTCTCCTGAAGTAGCACAGAAAACTGGGTGGTCTCAAGGTCTACCCCTTGTTGCTCACAGTATCGAAGTATCACTTCTTGCACACTTGACAAGATACGAGAAACAGGAATGCTGGTAAATGCCAGATGGTAGAGTTCTGGCCGTACCCTGGTATGGCCCAGTTACACCTTTAGCTACTACGTCAATGGCTTCTACTGAGCTTGAAAGCACGCAGAGAACACACAGGTCAGCGTCCACGCAGTTCAGACCTGGAACAGACAACCCATGTGTTTTCGTTGAGGCAGTCTATTCAACACTTGGAAGGACTGGAGCAGCTAGCGACACCGCAACACCCCGCTGAAGAAGTGGCGTATCGAGCGCTACTTAGTGGTGAAGCTACATACGAGCTTTTACACGAGTGGCTTACGTGCGTTCCCAACAGCTCGTTGTCCTTGCGCAACAACCGAATTGCGCCTGAGCATGAGTCTAGTGCTGTCAAGTCTTTTATTTCCGGTGCTTTTGTTTTTGGCGGAGTTACTGGCCTACATGCCAACTCGAATCAGTTTCCTTGGTCCACTAGATTGCTTACTTGCTTAGTTCGTGCCCAAGTTCCTCAGGTTAGTTTTTCGTCTTTTTCGGAAAGCATGAACTGCCATACGCGTGTACATCGCGACAACAATCATAGCTTTGTTCCTAATTACATTATACCGCTCTCCTGCTTTAATGCAGGGGAGCTATGGTTGGAGCATGAGCAAGGAGAGGTCTATCTAGACAATAAAAGAGGCCATCTCCTACCCATTCAGCTTCCTTATGTCACTTTCGATCCAAAGATTCGCCATGCAACGATGCCGTGGAGGGGAGACCGGATTGTCCTCATCGCCTCGATTGTGTGTGAGTGACGTAGAGGCTGACCCATACCAATAGTTGCTGCCTGAGCGTAAGAAACATTGCTGAGCCATCAGTTTTGCCTCTAGTCTGTATGCTTGTTGCTTAATTGAGTGAGCAGAAAACATCATCTTACTTGTTTTTTTTGGCTGCCGTTGCCATGCAGCCTTCTAGCCCTTTGAACGATGCCAACGACCCCTGGCACCGCTTCAGCGCTGGATAACCTACACCCAAGTTGAGCTACAGAGCTTACGACTGGACTTTCAAAGCAGTGTTCAGGTTTCTCACGGTATCTCTACGACCGTTACAGGTCAGAGGGCTTGAAGAGAATCTTCGTAAAGTGAACGAGGACATCACACAGCTTCATCAAGATGTGACCCGTGTTAGAGCGCTTATCTCTCAGCTGCTGCGAGACATTTCCAATACGCGTGAAAGCTTGGCAACACTCCTACTACAGTGAGCATCTGTGTGTTGATATGTAGATCGTAGGTTTTTGACTCTGTTCAGATGCGAGCTTAGCTGTGACAGATTGAAAATGACACCTCTTTCGACTGTGCTTCTGGTTTGCAGCGTGTAGTGCTTGCTTCTGCCTATGCTACCGCTTTCTGATACTTGTGCTTGGCTTAGCAGCGTTATTGCCACATACTTGCGCCAACATGTTCAAGCCTCAGCGCGTCAACGAGTCTGGATCTGCTCCTCCTGAAGAGGGGCGTCGATGGTACTGGATTCTAAGTGACTGGGCTTATCACAGCGCTTTTCGCAGCCAGCAGCTTTCTGCGCAATCTGAGTCTGCCTTAACGGCAGCCAAAACAGAAGCGTCTGAGTGTTTGGCAGAGGGGTCTGTTGTTTGCACAAGCCCCAAACGCAAGCGTGATAGCAGCCCCAGCTAAATGTTGCTGCGCTCAAGTACAGCCTGCGCACAGCATCTTTGCATGCAGTGAATTTGCTTTTCCAAGACATTCTATGTCTTTGGACGGTTCATTGGTTACGTCATCAGTGAAAAGTGTGCCTTCAGCATGAGGTTTCTCTGGTTGAGCCTCTTGATGCAGTTTGTTTCTGCGATTCCAGTGTGACTACGTGCTTTGACCATTGTGCGTGTGCATTCTCTGGCTTTAGAGTAGTCCTACCTGTCTTTGTAGGTTTCATATTTGGACATGGAGATCCCTGACTTCGTAGTTGCTGCTACGGTCACCTACTTGGCCAGACGCTTTATACAGAATACAGATCTCCTTCAGCATTCCTAATGCGTTTGATTCTGAGCCTAGCGATGAGCCTGAAAACCACGCAGCTGTGACGTCTAGTGAAGACTCCACTGACTCAGCTTCCCAAGTTTTCCTCCTTGCCGAAGATTACGTGGCGGGATGCCTCATCAGACTTCGTGCCAATGCACTAGATAGAGATCCAACTATGCGCCTCAGCTTGGTGCGTCATCGTTCACACGCCTACTTCACTGGCGACACGTTGTGTTTTTCGAGGATTTCAACTCTTGCTGCAGTATCGTCAACATGGCTTCGCATAACGCTTACTGAGCTTTCTGATGAGTGGTGCCTACGTACGCACTACTTGGAGCAAGTTTCAAGAGCCAATAGGCTTCCCTGTAAAATTGTTGGATGCACAGAAGACGAGTATATTGCCCGTTTTACAGGACGGGTATGCAGAAGCCTACAGTGGAGGCGAGTAATCTCCCCACTCCACCATGTCTGATTACCAATTTCAGGTGAAGTCTTTACGCAGTCTCACTTGAGCGTTCTGTGAGTCAAAAGAAACGTTAGCTCTACCTTGTTGCAACAGGGGACTTGTGTGTAGCGCTCTGTTTCCAAGAGTTCTAGGACTTAAGTATCTACTTCTATGCCTGAGTTTCGAAGCAGACTTGTAGCTGAGTGCGTTTGCTATGTCATGCAAGCAGGGGGATGCCCCACACCTGAAGAGTGGGCATCCAACAAAGAGGCTCTTCAGAGTGTGCTGATATCAAGAGAGGACGCTCTCTTGACGTGCCTGCAGCTGCTAGTTGAATAGCTCATGGGTGCAGAGTAGCTGAATATGCCTTGATTTTCCCAACCAGCTTTGCACGGGTATGTGTGTGTGATGTTTGTGTCTGTGTCTGAGGCCGTACGAAGCGCACGAAGCGGTGTTGGTGATCGACCCGGCCAAGCTGGGCACCGCTGCCGTGAAGCCTTTCGAAGACAGCCAGGCGGGACGGCGGGAGTAAAGAGCAAAGGAGCAAGGCCTTCACCTCACCTTTCCTGGAAGCTCAGGGCTGTCAGCTGCCCGGCTTTGTGGAGACGAGCCAAGGCAAGGCTCACACGGACGGAAGTGTCGAGTTTCCAGCGTTCTCTCTCATCACCTGGAGGAGATGTACTCGCGGTTTCACATTCCTGACAAAACGTCAGACTCGCCGTCTCGCCCTTGCGTTTGACCCAAAGTGGCCGCAGGGCAAGCTCAGCTTTGGGCGTGAAATGCATGACCTCGGTCGGGAGTTGTGAGCGCACACAGCATGAACGGAAGAGTATTAGCAAGCATCCCTCGCTTGAGGTCACAGTGCCTTAGGGTCTCAGAGCATGTTAGGTGAGTCAACAAGGAAAAGTTTTTATGGATTCATCATCCTCACTGTCACTCACTGCGCCAGAGTCACAGCGCTGAATCAGCCACTGGCACCTGCGACCTGCCAGATTTAGGAGACCTCAAGTCTCATAGCACCGCGGAGAACGATTCAAAGCAATAGAGAGTTTTCGAAGCCCTTGTCCTAGAATGGCAATCTCCGCCCCGAAGCTACCCATTCAGAACCGCGCTGCTCCCAGCGGGATGGCGGCCAGGAATGGTAGCTAGAAACACAGGTGTCACTAGATGAGCGTGCTGCGCCTGATCCAGTATGCATCTTCTCACAACTGAGGTGGTGGTGTCTGTTGAGCATGTGGTGTTTCTTGAGGCTCCACGATTTCGCCGCCCGGCCGTCCTGGGGGCACCAAGCAGCTCAAATGCAGATTCAATGCACGAGCCAAGCTAAGCTGAGCGCCAAGCCGAGGTCTCCCATCGGACCCAGCAGACGCGAGAGAAGACAGGCGAGGCGGTCCCCGAGTTACGGGCCCTGCCCTGCCGTTCTCTGCTTGTGAGGCAAGGTGGGCCGACTATACTCCAACGCAGTGGCACGATGCCCACTCTCCCTGGCCTGATGGTGCCAGCGCCAGCGCAGTCCGAAGGACATTTCTTCACCTCATAACTGACGCTTTAAATGCCAGGATACCCTGCTGCACCGCTTTCCATGATCCTGCAGACTCCCCCAGGACCAGGCCATGTTCTCTATGTTGCTTCGCTCGTGTGGTGATTTTGGAGTTGAGATTTTGAGACAGGTCCGGAGCGAGAGCGGGAGGCCTGCTGTTTGCTGTGGCACAACAAACACGGAATTTAAATGTGCACTGCTTGTGCATGCGAGCTGCTGCTCGCAGAAGGCGCAGCTATGGCCTGCAACCCCAACACCCTCAGGAGGTTGGTTGGTTCGGACTTCTGTGAGTTGAAAAACTCCGTATACCGCACTCCAGGCGGAGCTGGCCCTGGCTATGGTTTTGGCGTCATGGAGAGGCGAGCTTTAGAGCCAGAGCAGCAGAGCAGGGGGAACAAGCTTTTGCGGGGGCCCGCCCGCTGAGGCCGCCCGAGCATGGCACGAACCACGGAAAGAGCTTCGAGGCTCCGCATGTTTTTCCAAAGTTCCGAAGCTCCTGAGGCGAAGGGCCCTTGGTTCTCCAGCCTCCTGCACGGGTGGCTCAGATGGCCGCGGCAGCAGCACAAGCGGCGGCTGCTGCAGGAAGCTCTGCGCGGTGGAAGCATGTGGAAGCTTTGGAAAGCTGCGCAGCAAACTCTGCAAGCCTAAGCTTTTAAACTACCTAATCTGCTTTGATCTGGTTTTAGGAGCAGCGGCAGCTGCGGCAGGCGGACCCAAGCATGGACTTTCATGAACTTGTGCTTTTCTCAGCCTTGCTGAACCATCGTGACAGGAGCTCACCATACAGAGCTTTTTCGAAACGGAACAGGCGCGCAAAACCAAATCCTGGTGTCTTTGATCAGCTCTCTCATGTTCGCTCACGCTCAGCCAAAGCGAACGCCAATGACAAAGTCGGCTCCTGAGTGCACAGTTGCTTTGAAATCTGAGAGCCCTGAGAATCCCTGAGTCCGTGTACTTGAGGCAAAGGGCAACTTCTTGGATGAGCGCGAATGCCGTGGTGACCGCGGTGACCGTGGTGAGCTGGAAGTCCACGTCCGGAGGATGCCAATCGGGCCAGTTGGACCGCCGAACTTCTCGAGAGAGAAGGCCTCGCGTCTCACTTTGGAGCGTGCGGAGTGTGCTGAGACCCAAGAGGACCTGCCAGAGACTTAGAGCAGCATTGTAGCTCTGCAAGATGAGCCATGCACGAGACTGCACGAGGCCTGATCCAGATTTCTGGAAGGATCAGGAGGCTTCATAGCATACACTTCTCCTCAGTGTGGGTCCACTTTTCTTGCATGCAGAGTCTTGGAAGTCAAGAGTTAGTGTCGCCCGATTTGAACAGGTGCCTTCCAAGGGCTCGGGTGCACACGGTAGCGGCAAGCAGGGCACACATCATTTAAAGTCAAGCGGGGCAGCTTGCTTTCCACAGCAGCCGTGCTCAGGTGCCGCCCTTGTGCCTGGTTTTGGAAGCCGCAGGGCTGCCAGAACGACAAGGTGCCAACATGTGGTAACACACCTTCAAGCAGCCTTCAAGCAGCCCAGGATTGTGGATACTGCCACCTTTGCCCAGAAGGGGAGCTCAAGAACCGAAAGAAGTCCAAGGCAAAAAGCCCACACACCGCCTTCAGAGTTCGAGATTTCTTCAGAAGTATCCAGGTTGCGGCTATGCGAATGGGCGCCCTGGTGCCTGCAAAACCGTCCGGTTCTTGGCCATGCAGAGCCTCTGGCAAAGCTTTGCTGTAAAGCTATGTCTGTGTAGACAGTCTATGAGAGGGCAGAGCCGTCAGGCCTTGAGCGTTAGTCTGGGGATACTTGGGAGGGTGCATGAGTCCATAGGCCATAGGCCGCAGGATGCTGCAGGCTTAGTCTTCAAGATATTGGCAACCGAAACCCTTTGTCTCAAGGAGGAGCCCATCATCAAGCCAAGGGCTTCGTCTAAGAAACAATCTTGGTGCACGGTGTAAGCTCTTCAGCCGGCAAGTGCGGCAAGTGCGGCAAGCACGCTCACGCTTTGCCTAAGCTGTGAGGAGCCAGAAGGCAAAGTGCCCAAGTGGCGCTCGGGTCTTGAAGCTTTCTCCATTGCTCTGCGGGGCACCCGGCCATCACCCGTCAGCAGAGCAAAGTTTCTGGCCCCTCCGCGCAGCTCTCTCCTTTCGCTTAGGACTTCAGAAGCAAGTCAGTTTTAAGGACACCGGAGACCGTCTTGAGCGTAGAGTGCTTTGTTGCGGTTGGTGCTTTGTGTTCTTTTCGGGTTTCATTTCCAGGAATCCCATACAGCTGAGCCGCTGAGCCAACGCATGGTCTTGAGCGAATGCTGTACAGTGGCTACTCCGCCTCGACAGGGGCGGTCACCGCAGCTCGGAACGAACTTTAAGACAGACTTCCACCCAGACCTTCGTCAGAAGCATCACAGCTGGGAAGATCGTTCAGCTGCAAATTTGAACTGCTCAACTGCTCAAGTGAATGTTTCGCTTACGACCTGAGAAGGCTTCAGGCTCCCAGATAGCACAAGAATTGGTCTAAGAACCGAGAGCACGACCTCGGCACGACTTCGGCACGGCCTCGGCAGAAAGAGATCTCCTGACACCAAAGGCATTTTGCTTTCTGGACCCGTGCCGCACTGGCGCAGCACCAGCACAAAGCGGCTCAAACCAAGGAGAAGCCAAGCAGCCAAGCAGCCAAGCACCTGCTCTGTAACCGACATGGCAACTTCGAAGCCTGTGGTGCGACAGGTGGACATGGAGGCCTCTTGGCCTGCAAAGGCTGCACGGTTTGCCGCTCTGCTTTTCCCCTGCCCTCAGGCTGACATGCTGGAGTTCGCGCTCAACCGCACCATGCGCCCTGTGAAGCCCTGTATGCCCCGTGTTGTGGAATCCTGCACTTGGCAGCTCCAAAGGTAGGGTGGCCTAGTGGCCTAGCGTGGCAAGCATGCTGCATCATGCCGCTAGCTCATATGGCCCTTTACAACATGACCAGAGCTGTTGGGTGTATCAGGCAACAAGCACGGAAGAAAGGAGTTGTGTGGTTGTGTGATTCCAAAGCTATGGAGAGATAATCATGGGCCTCCAGGATGCAGGCCATGCAGTGACATTGTGCACTTGAGCTGAGCTGAGACGTTCCAAATGCAGGCCGTGCCTTGTCGAAGCAGGAGAGACTCTCAGAGACTCCCAGAGAGAGAGATGTCGTTTATGTCTTGGGCCGAGCAGGAGCCCGGCTCGCCGGAGAACAAGCGTCGGCTGCGCCTGGAGAGCGGCACAGGCGCATGGCGCATGGCCAGTTTCTGGCTGCAGCTTGGCTGCAAACGGTTGCAGTGACACCAGCCAACGAAAGGCTCCCGGGGCTCACGGCGAGACTCCTCCTTCCCTGCCACCCCGCTGGGCCATTCGCTGGAGCCGCGTGCATTGTGTCACATTATGTCACATCGTAACCTCAGAACGTCGCTCAACCTGCAAGGAAGAGGCAGCTCGAAGGCGGCAGGAGATGCTAGCCAAGGCAAAAAAAATTACAAGCCCACACCCATTAAAGGAGAGAATTCGTAACTCAGAGTTCTTTGACAGCTTGAGGCTCAGGCCGCCCGCGCGCTGCAGCTGGCGAGGCAGCAGGAGATCCGCGTGGGCGAGGCTGGGGCGAGCATGCGCGAGCTGAGAGGGAGGATCAGAAGACCTCTCACCTTTTCTTTCTTCAGGAATGGAGCGAGCTCCTCAAGGTACCCTCCAACCGGACACCTGATACGCACCTCAGCCCGCAAGCAGGCTTGAAGCTGATGCGGCTATGTTGCTGTGAGATGCTGCCGGGAAGCCGAGGATGTTGAACTTCTGGGAGGAGGTCAAGGCGGAGTCCCCGAAAATGCATCCGTCCAGATCCCTCCACTCCAGTTTGCTTTACGGCTTGCTGGCTTGCTTCTTTTTTCTCCGCTATACGGTGCTTGTCAGCTTGTCGTGCTGGCTCAGCCGCGGATGAGCTATGAAATGCGTCTGGACTGGAATGGCCTGGAGGGCACATCGCGTGCCCACCAACTCGACACCCCATTTCTACACCTTTTAAACTCCTCTTCCAGACCTTCACGCTCTCAACTCCCTTAAGTGGCTCCCTTTTCACTCCTCTTCCAGACCCTTTCCTTCCCTCGCTGCTCGCAGCCCTGCAGGCTGGGCGGCCGAGCAGTGCTCAGTTCGCCCAGCTCGTTCTTTCTCGTCACCGATCGCTGTCTCTTCTTACAGTGCCTTCTTTAGCCCTTTCTTCTTTCTATGCATTTCCGCTATCCCCCCCCCTTTAAATTCCTTTCCAGACCTCGCGTCGCCATCGCATAGCTGATCGTTTTCCTTTCTTATTTTCTATTCTTCTCTCTTCCATTATAAGCTTCTAGATTCCTGTTTTCTAGAACCCCGTCGCCACCGCAAAGCCGATTCTTTTCCTTGCTTATTATCATTCTTCTTGCTTCTATTCTCTGTTTAGATTCAGAAAGGGACGCTGTGGGGCCCCCATTTTGCGTAGGTGGGATTTTTTGTGTTTTTAGACGTTGCGATGCATCCTGATAGGTTCCTAGCAATTAGTACGATGAGGAGAGGGGGATAAGGAGGCTCATGAGGTTGAGGAAGGGCATGGCAATCAGGAGTTTCTTGATGGGGAGGAGAGGGAGGCAAAGTAAAGGAATAAGCAAACAGGACGCTGGGGCTGCGGGGGGTGGTCCAAAAAGAACGAGCAACAACTTTTTTTTCGCTCCCACCCACCCCCCCCAAGGCCCAAGACCTCCCAGACGAGGCAAAAGCCCAGGAGGCTGCCGAAGCCTTCAGAGAACCCCAACTGCACGTGGCTGCACGACATTCAATTTGCACTATAATCCAATACCTCCAATTAATTCCAGATGCTTTCCCACGTGGCGTATAGGAGGCGGTCGATAATTTACATCAATTTGCTATGGAGAATATATAAAGGTTTGAAATTCACATACATCTGAAGAATGGGACGAATTGGCGCCCCCATGATGTTTTTGTATAATACGTAAATTCATCATACTCGCCATCCCGTTCTTCAGATGTATGCGAGTTTCAAACCTTTATGTATTCTCCATAGCAAATTGATGTAAATTATCGACCGCCTCCTATATGCCACGTGGGAAGGCATCTGGAAGTAATTGGAGGTATTGGATTATAGTGCAAATTCAATGTCGTGCAGCCATGTGCAATTGGGGTTCTTTGAAGGCTTGGGCAGCCTCCTGGCCTTTTGCCTCTGGGAGGTCTTGGGCCTTGGGGGGGAGGGGTGTATGGGAGCGAAATAGAAAAGGAAAAAAAACAAAGTGTGGCTCCAGAGGCCACCCACCTTTTTGTTCTTTCTTTTTTTGGACCGCCCCCCAGCCCCAACGTCCTGTTTGCTTATTCCTTTACTTTGCCTCCCTCACCTCTTCTCCTCCCGTATCAGGAGCCTCCTTATCCACCTCTCCTCATCGTACTAATTGCTAGGAACCTATCAGGATGCATTGCAACATCTAATCCCGCCTACCCAAAAAAAGGGCATTGCTCTGCTTTTGTCGATATAAAAGTGGGGGATGTTTTCGTCTATCTCTTTAGATATGGGGTTGTGACGTGATTCCCTGGGTTGTGGCTTGAAGCCAGCTGCGGGGCTAAGAGTCGGGAAGGGGGACGTTTCGGGGTCCCGAGAGTAATGGTCCTGGCCGCAGCAACATGGTTTCGGGGGGTACGAAGTAATGGTCCAGGACACAGCAACCCTTATTTTCTGGGGGCAATAGTTGAATTGATTAGGTATTGAAGGATGGGAAACTAAATGCACAGTAGGTTGTTTGTAAACTTCTGGGATTCTGAAGTAGTGTTTTCTCTGGGCAAGAACGCGTAATTTTTAAGACCTATCGTTGAAATAGTCATGCTGATTCCTCAGCTGTGCCATTCAAGAAAGGACAGGAGTCACAATATTTGTGTTCAGGAAGCTTTGTGCGAGAGTCGATTGACGGTAACATTCACACGTGGTGCGGCCTGCAAGTTGAACTTCATGCATGCTTTCAGAATCGCATCAGGAATGACAAGTCCTGAACACACAAACACTACAGGCAACTCATGAGATCTGCAGGGTTTGAGATTTTATGACGGACCTTGACGGTCAATATGTCTTGTAGGCATGTAGAGTTGAATTTCATCATGGCCCGCCTGATTGCTGTGTTGCATAGCCTGCAACATTTCTGCGAATCGCCTGGACCGATATCCAGAGATGGCTCATCTGCCTACTGTCTTGCATAACCTTCAACAGTTTTGCTGTAAGTCTGAGCGTGGATTTGTGCTATCCAAACATCGACTGGTGGATGTTGTGCACTCATATTTGCTGGCCCGGCATAACAGCAGGTCAAGTGAATCTTCTACAGAGCCGAAAAAACAGAGCACAAGGAAAAGAATTTCACGTTGGCTTGAGCTTCCGGCAAACAATGGTGCTTGCTTGGGATACATTGGACTGTATGATTCCGCTTCTGGCACATGCGTGCCGACGCAACAGTATGGCATTCGGACGGTTGGATCCCTTCTTAGTTTGGTTGGAGCGCGTTCAACTGACAGTGAGATTTTGGAGATGGAATCGATTCTGGAGCAGTCTGGTTTGGAGAAAGTAACCCTGTTTCCGGATCCTGGGTCGGTTGTGGTTCCTGCGATGCCGTTGCAGGCGGACGCGTTGCAGGCGGACGCAGAAGCAGATTTTGTTTCAACTGCACTTGTTGTTCCAGATGTCTCAACTTCATCAGACGTGCAGCCTGCTAGCACGAAGCGCACCGCTCGTGAAGCATTCGAGAACTACGCAGAGAGGTATGCAAATTGGACCCGCGAAGAGCTCGTGCGCGAGCTCGCTTACCGCGACGCGCAACTGGAGTCCTTGCAGTCAGACTTGCGCAAGCAACAGGAGAAGGAAGAGGCGCAGACTAGAAAGCTCCGCACCTCGCAACAGCAGGTGCGCCGGCTTGCAGCTGCCAAGGCCAAGGCGAAGGCAGCTGGGCGGCAAGGTCAGAGTGAGACAGCGACAGTGCCGGACAGCTTGCGCATCAAGCGCAAACTTGAAATCCAGCGCACAGGCAAGCATGAATCTGGCAGATATCTGACTGTGCCGAGCCAGGTTTCGCTGGCGCTTCGTAGAAACCTTTCGAACGTCTCTTGCGCAGACCTTGGGTTGGTTATCATGGATGATGCCAGTCGTTGGAGCGTTTCGTCAGCAGAGGTTCGGGCTGGCTCCAGTCTCATCGCGTCATTTCGCAATTTCCATGAGAACATGATGCTGGAAATGTTTCATGAAGATGGCTTGCAAGCTGGAGACTTTAACCTGTCTTTGCACGTTATCAGCCAGGATGCGACAAATTCTGACATTTGGCAGAAGCGAAAGTTGTGTGCTCTGTTGCTGCATTCTTGTTACCTGGTTCGTTTGGAAGATGGGGAGGGCTTCCGATGGGATTGGCCGGAAATGTTCGAGGAACTCCGGGCCGTGGGAGACATTCAGCAGGTGGATGATGGCTCTGGTCGAGGAGCAGTGGCTTTGGCAAGCAAAATGCTGAGCAGCATTGGGTGCCCCACTGTGCAAGACTTGGTGCTGAAGCACAAATCTTTGCAAGCCAGTCATGCGCGCAACGATGCTGAGAGTCTCGGCTGCATTGAGAGGTCGAGTCAACAGCGAGCACGTGAACAACAAGAACAACATCCAACCAGCGCAACCAGTATCAACGCAGTGCTGACTGCAAACAACGAAGACAAATGTCCAAGAGTCTTAAGAATCCAGTCCAACAGTCTGGCAGCAATAGCAACAACTGCAGCGGCAGCAGCAGCAGCAGCAGCTACAAAATAAACGGCTAAGCATTGATAGCAACGTCATAATGCAAACTGCAACATCTTTGTTATGGTTTATAGTCGTTTACTTACCGTTCACCCCCATCCAATTTAACTTGAACCGAAGCCACACATCCCGAAGCTTGAGCCGCCTGATGAAGCGTTTGGCTGGAAGCATGATCCTGGATTGTTGGTTCTTGATGATTGAGTGATTGATGATTCGATGGTTGTGATGCGAACCAGAAATCATATTGGCGTTGTTCACGCTTTATTTCAACCTGAGGTATCAGCAGCAGCCAGAGCAAGCGGCAGTAGATAGCAATAGGGTGGCAGGTCCCAAAATTCCCGACCACAGCACAAACATAGATCTTGCAGCCTTGCAGCAGTTGATTCAGTTGACGCTTTAGGCTTTTAGAGTCGGTGGTTGCGGTCGTAGTTCTCATGCGCCTCAACTCATGATTCATGCGTCATGCGCTATTGTGAGTTGTGAGAGTGATGCCTGCAATGCCTGCAGGGTTGATTGTTGCTGCTAGCTAGGTGGCTGCGTTCTTGGCACTGGCGCTGCTGCTGGCGTTGTTGTCGTTGTTGTTGTTGTCGTTGTTGTTGTTGTTGTTGTGGTGGTGGTGGTGGTGATGGTGGTGGTGGTTGTTGTTGTTGTGGTGGTTGTTGTTGTTGTTGTTGTTACAGTTGTTGAGTTGTTGCTGCTACCAATGGACCCATTGATCCTTTGCTGTTGGCCGTTGGTGGAGTCGTGGAGCTGGTAGTAGTTGTTGCTGTTACTGTGTTGCGGACTTTCTGCATCATCACTCATCGGTGTCCGCGCTACAATCGCCAGTAAACAAGCAGTGAACTTGTGAACCATTGATGGAACCATGCACTTTGGCCGCTTTATCGAATAAGGACAGAGAGCAAGGTGCAGTCGAAAACTTTGACACATCTGCACTTTTTCGTATTCATCTCAGATCGAGGGCCGAACGAAGTCTTAGCTCGGAAGATTTGGCAGGTCGTAGCACGGGACTCGCCAGAGATTGTGGTATTATCCATGGATTGTCTGGAGCACGCGTCACATTTGGTGACGCTGGGCGGCCTCAAGCTTGCAGACAGGCTGTTGCAGCAAAAATTTGGCAAGGACCGAAGAGGCTGGAAATATTTTTCATCCCTGGCAACGACATCGATAACGCTGCGCGATCTGAGCAAAGAACTGTTTAAACAGTGGTGCAATGCGCATGGGCCGCAATCAGGACTGAAATGCGCAAAAACCCTGTGGCCAAAATGCTTGGCGGGGCGGTGGAATTCTGTGAGCGACATGGAAACACGAATGCGC